TTCTGTGGGGATATTACTGAAAAACGTTGATTAAAGGTACCACCATAAAATGTAAATTTGCAATTTTCAAGGAGACTCAAGCTTTGGAAGTTACCAAACTTTGGCGGACATTTTCTCGCTAACTTTATCTCTGAAATCGATCAACCCTCACCTCCTTCAATCGCAAATATCTCAACTTTTATTCAAGATAGATGGGTATTTTTTCATCAAAAGCGAGACAAACGAACAAAGGTTTAACGTGATACCAATAACTCAAAATGGCCCACAACTGACGAGCACCTGATTCCACCACTTCATGACTCATTGTATTTTACCATGACGGTCTGAAGCTCATCTAGATCTAGTTACTTTCCCTCTGCAGAAATCTAACGCGTGATGCAAGTGTCGGGCGAATACACACAGGTATTTTCAGGGGGGCCCGTAAACCAAAATTTAGTTGTTAGGTTACCTTGAAATTTGAAACGTGTAGTGAGGAAGGTATCCAATCTGATCAATCAGTATAAAACCTATCAAATAAATCCTGATGAAATCACCCAAAATCACGCGATTTATGCGTTACGTTACACATAAATAATGTTTACAGCTACTCATCCAGCAAATGGCATCCGTCCCTCTTTTATCTAGTTGCGTGTTCCCTACAACCCTCGATCGACAGATCCATAAAACCCAACTCTGCAAGAAGACAGCAGAAAATGCCTCGTTCCTCCCTTCAAGGCGACGCTCATTTTTATTTTATTTTCGTCAGAAAATTGCTCAAGCTCTCTGAACCTATTTGAATGCGTGCAGTAGTTTGTTCTTTCTACTTTTTTTTTGCGTAAGCTTTATTCAGAAACCAACAGGAGTTTTAATCTTTCAGTAGATGATTTACTATATGCTTTTCCTTTGATGTGGAAAGATTTACTATTCGCCCTCACGTGTATCATCATTGAGAGCTGCATTACAGTTGCTGTCTGAGGAATGCAAACCCACAAAGGTTCTTAAAGTAGGATCTTAATCGATTTTTTCCAAAATTGAGCTCTTGGAGCCATGCATGGCATCCAGTTCAGAGAAAATATTACTATATTACTGAAAAGCGCAATTAACACAATTTGACCCCCAAGTCACATTGTTTTGGTACTTATTTGAATGGAAGTCAGTTGGTTTGAATAGTAGACAGCTAAGGGGTTTTCAATGAGCGTAATAATGAATGTCGATGCTGAAAAAGAAGCTGTTGAAAGCAATGCCGATTCTGACAACATTTAAGCAAGTGAACGAAAGAACATCGTTTAAATGATGATGACAGGGATGGAAGTTTCCTTTTTCAGTGACATGTACTTCCACACATGCATGCTGTACAGGAGATATATGTAGGTAAAAATGGAAAGGATCCAGAAAGAAAAAACGAAATTATAGAGACTGAGAGAAACTTCAAGTACTTAAAGGCTACTTTTCCGTGGTATGCTCCAGCATTCAGATTTTTATCTTGGGTAATTCGAAAATGTACAAGTAAGTAACGACTCCTGGTTATTTACTTGGTTGCAAAACGTTCTAGATATTATAACGTAATTTTAAAGTTTAAATAAGAAGGTTTAGGATCTGAGTCCTGAGGATTTTTACATACAAATATTCAATGTGAACACCAAACAATCAGCTCATCTTAACATATATGAGAGGTAAACAACGTCCTTACCTCTTGGAGCTTCAGCTCGGTGTTTTTGTCTTGGGCTTGCTTTAACAAAGTAAATAAGCAAATTGAAGTTACTTGCATGTGTTATTAATGCTGTAAACGATACTGATTTATGCAACGAAATAAAATAATGGATATAAATGCCGATATATAACACCTCCCTCAACAAATTTAGATCATAATTTAAGAAGCGGGCTTCGACGGTGACTGCCAAGGACAACCCGGGTGACGAGGGATACATCATCCCAGCAGACAGACGGAGATACGTGTTACCCCCCTCCCCAAACCACGCACACACACACACACACACACACACACACACACACACACACACACACACACACACACAGCAGAAAATCAACTTGGATCAGCTCATTATCTGATCAAAGAAACTATTTCATTCTTTTTGTACGTTACAGGAATGCGCAAAAAAAAAACTTGTCAATGTCAAATGCACTGGCGACGTGCAGCACATCAGTTTGAAAAAGAAATGGATTCTCCTACGTCGGGTTCTCATGTAAATTTAGATGAGTGATATTCAGCCCAAGAAATGATATATTCAGCATTCAAATTGGTTTCCCGGTCAATTTATATTAGATTTCAGTGAGTGGAAACATTTTGTTGCCCCCAGGCAAGGTCACTTCTTCCGAATGATGGTCTCGGTGTATCAAGATGGATGTCTTGGGAACGAAGAACACTCTCATGTTCTTACCCTTGTTTCGCTTCTCTAAATGCCTGCAGCCTTGAATTACCAATATGCATTGCTAAACATCTCCTTTAATAGACCAGATGGTGTTACTGGCATAGAACCATCAGTCAAACCAGACTGCCATGTGCGTCTGGCATTAGGAACCTCAACCGTCACTGTTACAACTGCCCCTGCCAGTATTTCTTCAGCCATGGACCCGGATAAAGCATGCTTTTCTCACCTCGGTATGAATTTTCTGTATTGACTCTGTTTGCCTGAAGTGACTTTTATCCTTTAATTTTGCCTAGTTTGTATTTTCTCTTCCTCAGTTTGGTAATGTCTTGATAACAAAAGGCACTTTGGTCAAGGGAATAAGTATACATCTTATCGTTGTGAAAATAACACGAGTTCTCTATAACCTCCGCTTGCCAAATATGTCACAACACGGTGGACTCGGGTGCTCGTCAATTTTTTTTTAGGGGGGGGGGGCAGGCATATTGAGTTATTCATATCATCTTAAATCCTGTTCCTTTGTCTTGCTTTTGATAAAATACTTTCTATCCTGAATAGACGTCGACATATTTAGGTACGAATGTGGTGTTCTCCTAATGTCTGAGGTACAATAAGAGTAAAAAATGGCCACCGAAATTTACTGACTTCAAAACTTGCGTCCAAGGAAAACGTAATTGTTTTTCGTTGTTTATGTCTTTAATCAACGTTTTTTCAGTAAAATACACTCAGAAAACAAAACAAATTGTTTGTAAACGGACAAAAAAGGTGTTGGGATGAAAACAAAACATACAAGTAATAGTAAAATAAATAAATTATGACAATTGCCGAACAATAGGAAGGAGCACATTTCTTTGACTCCACCACTTTGACAAGCGCCTGATTTCAACACGAGGACACACAAATAATTTTGTATAGAGTACAACTGGGACCTGCAATCGCCTGGCTTGAATTCAGCATACCCCCCACCCCACCCCTGATCATCTCCCCAGCCCCCCTTCTTTCGCCTCCATATCCCTCAAGCCAATGAAAAAAGTTCCAAACCGCCTGCCATTTTTTATACTTACCATTGCCTCTTCGTAAAAACGGTACATTTATTTAAATGATCCAAGGTCTTCTCAATTCACTTAAGATGGGAGTTTCTTATTTTCTCTGACTCGTAAATGTTTCTGTGCGCTTTTTCAGAGTCATTGCACGGAACAATGCATGTCTGTATGAGTGTAGGGCCAAATAGCTGGTCGATACCAGCTTCGGCTGTCTCAGCGAAATGCCAGAGTTTTCTTAACCCACTTGGCGTCGCTGAGACTAGATGAGACTGGCATCCCGTCTGTCTTTGCCCGTCACGAATGTCTCAAAAACAATCTCCCAGAGCATTCATTTCATTAATAACCAGCAGTTACGGCCTCGCATGCAACGCCACGAAGAAAGACACCCAGTTTACCCACTTTTTAAAAAATCCAATAGCTCTTGGAGCTGGAGAAGCTTTTGAACCGACCCATTTTCAAATGTCAAGTTTCTTTTTTACATTTTGTACAGATCTCCTTAAGTTTGAAATTCATTTCCTGTTCGATTCTGACAGAAAATCCCTTTAAAAAAGGAATGCTTTTGCATGGAAATCAAATCCCAGTCGATTCCTTGGCCTGTTTATATTTCGAGTTTTTTCGTTCCCATCTCTCTCGCAGATTTCAAGACACTGTCAGATGATTTAACTGAGTGAATCTCTCTCTAGACAGGTAGTCACTCACTGATAAATGTACCTGCATCATAAAAAACAAAGTAAAATTGATACGTTCTTGACTGCATACCCGTGCCTGTATATGGGAACATTTAATTTACAGACATACATTTGTGCACACACTAACTTGCTCACAGCCTCCACCTGCCCAGCAGCACACACACACACA